AACTCGAGAGGAGACTCGAGAGGGAACTCGAGGGGAGACTTGAGAGGTGACTTGAGAGGGAACTCGAGAGATGACTTGAAAGAGGATTCCAGAGGGAACTTGAGAGGGAACTCGAGAGGAGACTCGAGAAGGAACTGGAGAGGGAACTGGAGAGGTGACTCGAGAGGGGACTCGAGAGGAAACTTGAGAAGAGACTCGAGAGGGGACCTGAGAAGGAACTTGAGAGGGTACTCGAGAGGAAACTTCAGAGGGGACTCGAGAGGGGACTTGAGACGGTCGGTACGCCGACAGAACACGAGGTGCTGGAGTCGGCCGGTACGTCGACAGGACACGGGGAGCTGGCGACGGCCGGTACGTCGACAGGACACGGGGAGTTGGCGTCGGCCGGTACGCCGACAGGACACGGGGAGCTGGCGTCGGCCGGAGAGCCAACAGGAGACGAGGGGCTGGAATCGGCCGGTACGTCGACAGGACACGGGGAGCTGGCGTCGGCCGGAGATTCAGTACTTGAGCCGAATCTGGTGTCGGGCCGATACTGAAGCCGGAACCATGGCTGCTGGGGCCGGTTCTGGAGCCGGAACCATGGCTGTTGGGCACGGAACAGAAGCCTGGACCCTGGCTGTGTGAGCCAAGTAATGGAGCACGGAAGCATGGCTGTGTGGACCGGTACTGGTGCACGGATCCATGGCTTTGTGGGCTGGTTCTTGAGCCGGAACCATGGCTGCTGGGGCCAGGACTGAGGCTGGAACTATGGCTGCTGGGGCCGGAACCATGGCTGCTGGGCACGGAACCGGAACACGGAACCATGGCTGTGTGGGATGGTACTGGAGCACGGTACCATGACTGTGTGGGCCGGCAATGGAGCACGGAAACATGGCCGTAAGGTCCGGCACTGGAGCCGGAACCATGGCTGCTGGGACCGGTACCCGAGTACGAGCTGGCTTCCTGACCTTACGCTTCTTAGAGGTCTTTTGGAGGTTCCGTGGACCTCCAAAAGCCAGACGAGACCCATCAAAAGCGTTCTCGAAATAAGCTAGGTTGGGAACTGTGGCAGGCAGGGGGTTAGCATGCCTGGGGCTAGGGGTTTCACAACTACCAATATTTACTAGTCGACACGTTTTTCAAAATAGTAGTCGACTAGTCGTTACGTCATAATAAAGACACACAAAGAGAGGTGTACAACTGTATTTTATATTGGAACTCATACAGTTACATTAAACACTGCATTTTAATTTGTGTTACATGGCTGAGTAAATAACAAACAGTAACTGGACTCACCAAAATCGACAGCAAAAAAACTCTGTTTACTGAAATGCCACGTAAATCCAGTGCGCAACAGCGCATTGCGCAACACTTTACTCGCTGTCCTCCACGATAACGTCCACCTTTCCAGATTTTTGGTTTGCGTTGAGGAACACCAACGCATCGACATGTGAGGGAAGGAGGCTTGACCGCTTTCGGGTGACAGTGTTGCCTGCCAGGGAAAAAACCCTCTCACTCGGGGTGGCTGGAATAGCCAGGTAGCTCCTCGAAAGCTTGGCTAAACGGGGGACGCGGTGCACGTTTTCTGCCCACCACTCCAGTGGGTTATCCATTGTGGGGATATGCAGTGTCCGCTGGCAGTAAACCCTAGCTCATCATCCGTATCACTGTTGACCCGTTTTTTCTTGCTGCTCGTCTGCCTCTGTCCTCCGGTCCATTGCTCACTGGTGCTAGCATTACTGCTAGTGCTAGCTGTCGGCAGCGGGTGTCTCATCTTCAGATGGTTGCGCATAGCAGATGTATTTTTGTTGTACTTCAGTACAGCTGTACACAACTGACACTTCACTGTGGAGTTGGTTACATCTTTGTTGAAGTACTGCCATACATAAGAATGTCGGACGTGTTTTGGAGCATTTTGCAGCACCTCGTTTACCTCCATTTTTTTCACGACTAGTCGACTAGGGCCAACAGCGCCGACTAGTGGTAAAGGTAGTCGACTAGTCGATTAGTTGGTGAAACCCCTACCTGGGGCTAGCAGGCCGGGAAACGCATGTCTGGAGGAAGTCCATAATCCAGCCAGGTAAGAACTTCACTAACCCTGGTTTCTCTGTTGCCCTCTGGTAGGCCTCTGCCAGGGCAGCCCTCTTTTGCTCCACACTGGTTGCTCCCCTCCATTTACCATAGCTGCAAGCCAGCAAGTAGGTAAATGAATACAACTCCACTTCAAATGGATCATTTGCTGGGTCCATATTTGGTCGGTTCATTCTGTCAGGGTTGGGGAAAAATAGGACCCAAATGCAGATTGAGGAGGGAAGCGGGTTTCAAAATGAAACAAAAGGCGAGCTTTATTTACAAACGCTGAAAAACATGAATCCATGAACAGGTAATGTAGCACGAGGTAGCATCCAAACAAAAGGTGACTGTGACCAACATGAAGGGAGACATGAAAGACAAACAATGAACCGACAGGGGAACACAGGAAGAGACAAGACTACATACAGGGAGGGGTAATCACGAGACGACAAACAGCCGGGCAGGGGAGGCAGAAACACAAGGGTAACAGCTGAACACAATTAGACAATCAGACACACCAGGGAAACTAACGACAGGGAGGAAAACACAGGGAGAAAAGAACAACAAAACAAAACCCATTACCAGACACAAAACTAAAACCGTGACATGACATAAGAATCGTGACAAGCCCGTCGCATGGTTTGGACAGCTCTGAGCACGGACCACTGGGTGGTCTCAACCATGACCCAGGGTTACCGGCTTCAGTTTGCTCGGACTTCCCCCTATGGCGAGATCAGCGACGGTTTCGTCAGTGACGGACCCGCGGCACACAGAGGCGTCACGGGTGGAGGTTTCCACCCTCCTAGCGAAAGGTGCAGTCAGGGAGGTGTTGCCAGGGGATCGGCGGGCTGAGTTCTATTCCCGCTATTTCCTCGTCCCCAAAAAGGATGGGAGACTAAGACCAATCCTGGTCCTCAGTGGCCTCAACCGGTTTCTCCGGCCCCTGAAGTTAAACATTTGACAATTCCCAGGGTTAGGCAGGCAATCCAGGCAGGCGATAGGTTTTCCACCATAGACCTCAGGGACGCCTACTTTCAGATTCCCATCTGGGAGGGTCACAGGCGGTTCCTATGGTTCTGCAAGGACAAGATCTTCAAATTCTGTGTCCTCCCCTTTGGGATCTCGCTGGCCCCTCGCACCTTCACCAGGTGCATGGACGCGGTCCTTGGGCCTGCGGCGAGAAGGCTTCATCCGCTCCCTTTGGAGAGTTGGTTTTGCGTGCTAGCCAGCGCTAGATATTGTCTATGGTTTCCCAACAGGTAACCCGGCTGTGAGTGGCCTGTGTGAGGGTGCCACTTGAACCTGTCAGTTGGCCTCGCGTCCAGCAGGCTAGCTTGAGCGGCTCCTTAAACCCCTGTGATCACTGGCCTTAGCGTCTTGCGGGGCCAGTGAAGCTCTAGGTAGCGTCTTGCGCCTAAGCTTACAGAGGCCGTAGAGAGCGTCTGGCTGGCCTGCCAGCTCAGGTTTTTTTTAAATACTGTACATTTGTATATATTTCGTTTGTAGCACGGGCTTGGGCCCATCGGGTTGTATATGTGGTTGGAGCACTGGTGATGGTCATCTGCCAGCCAGAGGTGAGCTGTTGAAAAGTGCATTGTATCTAGAGCAGTGCTTCTCAAAGTGTGGTCTGCGGACCACTGGTGGTCCGTGAGCGCCCTCTAATGGTCCGTGAGTATATTGGTAACATTTCACATTTGAAATAAATAAGTAAATGTAAGTTTTCCGCACTCTCGCGGGAATATCTCCGCAATGGAGCGAGCTTAAGTTTAACTTTCGATTGCATGATATAGCCCAGATAAACACCTTCATCACACATGTGGCCACTTGTTTGTACCATTTTCAGGCGATTTGTAAAAAACGTTGTGTTTTTGGATATTTGTGGAGTTAGGTGGTCCGCGTGTGTTTTTTTATTGGTTAAGTGGTCCTTCCTTGGTATGAAAAAGTTTGAGAAACACTGATCTGGAGTAAGCCAGCTGTTAGTGACAATCCCTGAAACTTTCCATATGTAATTTCGTGGAAGGTAATATATTTTTGAAAATAAACATTTTGACCCAAGACCACAAGAAAAACTGTCAGTTTGGTCCTAAAAGTGAATGTCAGGTTTCAGGCCCGCTTTTTGTGATATTATATTTGGTTATTTAGTGTTTATTCTACTTCTATCATAGATACATTACAAATGTTAATGCAAAACACTTTCTTTTCAAAACAGCACATTCACACTAAACCTGCATGGAAAGTGACCAATCTTACTAACATTTCACAAAATATGTTCTTGCAAAAATAGTTCACCAAGGCAAACGTTTTGGACAAAAAACTGCCGACCTTTGTAATTTACTGTACGTATAACATTAAAGTTAAGGCAGGGGGCCAAACATAGAAAGCTTGATAGTTTATTAATTCCCATAATCCTCAGCTGCACTGATAATTAGCTAATGTTAGCATGCTTCAAGGTTAAACATGTTCCAAATGGCTAACAATAGCATTTCATTTAAGTGAAGGTGAAAAAGCAGAGACTCACTTGGCTGTAGACTGTTGTTTATTGAATATATTACTTCATCATTACATTTTCATTATAGTAACAAAGGGTGAATGCTTCACAACAAAATATTAAAACACAATAACAACAGTAAGTGGTGTAACATCACAATGCCTAACATACAGTAAACCTGAATTCCTGTCAAATCTACTTTTATGAGGATATGTTAAAAAAATACATTTTAATATTGACCTTAAATATGCATGAAGAGGCAGCACATAATATGTGCTCTAACTTTAAATCTATTACATTTAACAGAAAAGTGATATTTTAACATTTGAGGGAAATTCAAGCTAAATCTAGTTAAATCAATCATATACAATATTGTTGTTGTGCTTTATGTTGATCTCTATCTAATCATGTATCCCTTTAAATAATTATGATAGGAAACACAATCTAACATGGTCAACATATCCCTTTTATATTTCAGCAGCAGGACCCTTCTTCAGAAATCTCAACACGACTCCTTTGATTTGAGGCAGACCCAGGCCATACACGATGGGGTTATTGAGGGGGGGAATGATCAGATACGCTAAAGACAAAATAACTGTGATGCTTGGATTCAGTTGACCAGCCTCTAATCGACTCAAAGACACCTCGAGGAAGAGAGAGATGGAGTAGGTCATAAAGGACACGATGTGAGGCAGGCAGGTTTGTAACGCCTTTCCTCTGAATTCAGACGATCTCCTGCTGCAGACCAGCAGAATCCGTAGATATGTGTACAGGACAAAGAATATGGGGATGAAGATGGTCGTCACCACGAGAAACTGACCAGCTATGTTGTTCAGAGTGGTGTCCACACAGGAGAGCTGCACCACAGGCCAGTTAGAGCAGAACATCCGGTTCAGTTTGTTTCCACACAGCGGTAATTTAACAGTAAGATAGAGAATGAAGCCCATCGCAAACACTGGGTATAAAATAGCAACGAGCACAAGAACCTGCACCCATTTGAAGGTCATTTTACTGTGGTAGTGTAAGGGCTGACAGATAGCAATGAACCTATCGTAGGCCATGACGGTGAGGATGGTCAGCTCACAGCAAGCATAGGTGTAAATAACATACACCTGAATAAAGCATAGTGGACGTGAGACCAAATGAGAGTCAGAGACGATGTCCTGCAGGAACCTGGGGAAGAATCCAGCTGAGCCATACAGAGAGTTTACACACAGACAGCTGATGAAAATATACATGGGCTGATGCAGAGACTTCTCCAGGAACACTGCCAGAATAATGACCATGTTAGCAGAGACTATAGTCACATAGATGAACAGACACAAGATGAAGAACAGGTATCTGAGGGGCCCAAAGTCTGCAAACAGAGTCAACTGAAAGTAGGGAGGGTTCAGGCTGCTGTTGCTCTTCATGTCTGCTCCAAAGAGAGGAACAATACAGGAACTGTTAATGAGATGCTGTTAGCTACATTTCAGATATTAATACAAAATCAGCCTGCATGCAATCTCCAACAGTTGTATGTGACCATGTTAAATATAACATCTGGGAAAATCTCACCTCCACATACAGTAGTTCACAGACTTATTCAGGCTCTCTATATCTGCGAAGGAAGGGGGAATATAAATGCACAATAAGGGAAATGTTCAAAGGAAAATGTCGTAATTCAACACCGACAGTAATGCAAACACACAATAAGCGTGCGTGCATGTGAATTACAACCTTCCTAACACTTGCACTTGACAATATTGAATTTAGCTTCAGGTAGCTGTAGAAGAGAAGCACACAAATGAAGGGCAGGGAAAAAGTCTCATAAACGACATGAACCACCAAGATGGTAATTCGCATTGATTTAAACATTATTTCACACTCGTACACATTGCCTCCTTCATGTTTGCAAGTCGGCCTGAACAGAGAAACACATTCATAGAAAGAACAAGAGTTATAGAAAGGAGAAGCAAGACTTAAGGAAAGGTCACAAGCAGACAATAATCAATATCATCTCATTTGAAGTAAGTCAAATATAAGTGAGAATATATTCTTTTCTTATGTTAAATACATATATGTGCCCGAATACTTGCATACAGAAGCAGTATACACATGTATACAGTATGATGATCTACCTGTGTCCAGGTACTAACAATAAAACAACGTATGTCACTCAATATTCATATATTAATATGAATACAAAATCAGCCTGCATGCATGCATGTGAATTGTAACATCTCCTAGGGTTGTATGGGACAATATTGTGCTGGGAATATCTCACCTCCACATACACTACATGCAGCAAAGCTCTGGCCTGTCTCAGTTATTCAAACAGGAGTTCACAGACTTACTCAGGCTTTCTGTATCTGGATAAAAGGACGGAATATAACTGCAACATGTCCTAATTCAACACATACAATACTAAAAACCACAATAACCTGCATGCATGTGAACGGCAAACGTTCACAGCTGGACCTGACAATAGTAACTATACATTCTAAGTAACCGAAGAAGTGATGTACACAAACTAAGACCTTCTCATAAACTACATGCACCACAATCCTGGCATCTCTCACTTATTGAAACAGTATTTCACTCAGATTTCAAATGTCTGTGTTTGCACCTAAAGCAAAAAGAGAGGTGCATTCAAAGACCAACCGGTAAAGGAAGGAGAGGAAGACCTGAAAAAAAGGCTACACGTGCCCCAGCCAGCATAGCATCATCACATAGAAGGATAATGAAAGTGAGAATAATCCATAGCATATACACCATGTTAATCAATGCTTGCATAAGCTTGCATACGAATAACATATTCAATGAATTCAACACTCTCAGTACATCAGTACATATAAATACACTCATACAGAATAATTATTGACTTACTGGTTCCATGCCTGAAAGTGTAGGAACATTTACATATGTTATACTTGTGTTCAGATCAGCACGATAACCTTGAAAGCATTCAATATAATGAGGACAACTATTAAAGACAATAGTTAGACAACTGAACCAACCATCAACAATTACGTTTAAAGATTCAATGTGGGTACTACCAATAAAACAGTGTATGTGACTCAGCTTGTTAGTGAGAGCTGTGACATGATGTGAGGAAGCCCCCCCGCCTGTAATGATCCACTCTGAAGAAGCTGGACACTATAGGTCTGCTGCTAGGATGCAGACGTTGCATCATGTTGCTGAGAGGCAAACACCTGTGTGTGTGTGTGTGTGTGTGTGGGCCGCGTCCACAGAATAATTAAGGAGAGAAACTTTGGCCTGTTAGCAAACACATTAACAACAACTTGATAAGATCATTTAATACATGGTTATATAATATACAGAGTAATACAACATAATATGATGTAACACGTTATAATAATTAACATCAATAATAATAAAGTGGGACTTAATGATGTTTTCTGTAATCCACTCAAACATCCAAAATCCAGATTAAGGATTTACGTTTACACACACACACCACACACACACACACACACAACACACACACACACACACACACACACACACACCACACACACACACACACACACACACACACACACACACACACACACACACACACACACACACACACACACACACACACACACACACACACACACACACACACACACACACACACCACACACACACACACCACACACACACACACACACACACACACACACACACACACACACCACACACACACACACACACACACACACACACACACACACACACACACACACACACACACACACACACACAACACACACACACACACACACACACACACACACACAGCACACACACACGCCCAATGCGGAAGGAATGGCTCAAATAATGTTCTGAACATATCCCCAAAATAAGCAACACGTTGTGTGGAAGTGTCTCTGGAACCAGAAACGTGTGGCCGTTCCCTGTTTCGGTGAGAAAGAGTGGGCGTTGAGGCGTTGCGTGTGCATCGTACCTTGCGCTGAGGTATTTGGTTAGTGGCTCGTATGGGCTGGGATACGATGTTCAGGCGGAAGATCATCTCTTTCTCCACGACTCCACTTCGAGCTGATTAGAATTACTAACAAAGCACTTATATACTAATAAAGGGCTGGCTTATCTAAGCCAGTTGAGTAGCACTTGAAATGTTTTGGCTCTATGAAGCCTGATGTACTTTATGATTCTGTTTTCTTCAAGTTTGTATTTTGTTGGTCGAACGCACTTATTGTAAGTCGCTTTGGATAAAAGCGTCAGCTAAATGTAATATAATGTAAAGATGTGGATGGGGGAAGAAATTCCCAGCTGATCCGTTTTACTCCTTCGGAGTGTGAATATGAGAGAGTCGTTTGCCGTGGAGGGCTAACAGCTGCCGTTTCGTGCATCTGTCTGCCTATAAGTAGTTTGACAAGAGGAGAGTGATGCGCTGTACTTTCTCTGAGGGTAGAGAAGCCTGGAAAGACATCGAGTCCAGGGTGATGCCTAGAAACTCAATGGAGGTTGTAGGCCCTGAGTTTTTCTCTTCAGACAGAGGAATGCCAAGGTCTGAAAAATGTTTGTATGAGTGTGCTCAGCCCGTGGCAGGGGGGTGAGGATGGTGGAGTGACAGTGAGAAAGTCGTCGAGAAGATGGAGCACATAGGGGAGTCTGTGGTTGTTTGTCAAGATCCGGCACAGAGCTTCTGAAAGGGAATCAAAGATTTTGGACTGCTTCTGCAGCCGAATGTGAGGCGTACTGAGAAGTAATAGGCTCCCTTCCAGTACGCTCCAAAGAAACGCCAGGAGTCTGGGTGAATAGGCAAGATCTTGAGTGCACTGGTGATGTCTGCCTTAGAGAGCCATGCTCCCCGGCCTGCTGAGCGGATGAGGGTGATGGCGTGGTCGATGTTTGCGTATTGCATCGAAAAGTCTGGGCTTGGAATGACACTGTTAATGCTCGGGATGGCTGAGCCGTGTGGAGAAGACAGGTCTATTATGAGCCTCTTTTCCCGGAGTATTTCCGAGTAGTTATGTCTACTGGACTGATGCGGACACTGGAAAGGGGGGACTATCGAATGGCCTATCATGAATCCTTCTTTGACTTCTTTGGCCAGTAAGGTGTCGAAGGTGTGAGGTTCTGTTAAAGCGGACTGAAGGTTGTGGCAGATGTGAGATGTGTCAGGCAGTATTGCTATGCCTGGGGGAAACCATGGTTGAAGCCATTGGTGAGAAAGTAAACAAACTATCTGGATGATTCACTGAGGCGGTAGCTAAGTTGCTTATCTTGACGGGTGTGCTGAGGTGCCGTGCTAGTCAATCTGCTGGTGTAGTTGGGTTGTGAGGGCAGGTGCTCCTGGTATGATGCGCGTGCTGCGAAGATGTGGCAGTAAAGCTCGGAGTCCAGAGCGCCCCAGTATGTTCCCTGGTTGAACTGCTTGATGTGGCCGGCGGCTTGTCTAGCAAAGTGGACGTGGTAGGTGTAAAAACCTGAGTCTCCGAAGTGTAAGGCCATGTCGAGCTCTATGAGGAGGTCGTCCAACTCGGTTCTGCGTGTGGGATAGACTGAGCAGATGACGTCGCGGTAAAGGGAAAAAGCTAGGGCGAACTCTGCGGGGGTTAAATCCTTAGATCTCAGAGGTGATGGATTTCGCAGCTGGACTAAACCGAAGTTGGTCTGCATTTCCCTGGGCCGGCTAGTGTCGATGATTGATGGCTGTAGTAGCTGAGCCAAGTCTACGTAGTTACTTAGGAGAATCTGCTGACGCAAGACGGGGGACACGGGGGAAGGGCGAGAGACTGAGGAGGCTGGCTGGATGGGTGGTGTTGCTGTGGCTAGAGTGTAGCTGGTTGCACAGTGAGGATGGGGTAGGGATGGGGTAGGGATGGGGGAGGGGGGGGAAAGGATAGACCAGTTGGGAAAGAAGGTACTGGGTAAGAGTCGGCTAATGGGTTAGCATGTAGCATGGCCCCTTGGGTTACTGGGTGAGGCGCTGTTGCTACGGGGTTAGCTGCTAAAGGAGGAAGGTAAGCAGAAGCTGGGTTGCTGTGGACTGCTGAAGGTAGAGAAGAAGAAGAAGGGATGAAGGGATGTATGTGCAAGGGGATTTCGTGAAGCCTGTGAGCACAGGGATGAGAGAAAGGTTGACATGAGCTGCGACATGTCAGACACATAGAGAGCAGGCACAGAGGGCAATACGACTTGGCCCCCACCAGGGGGTGCTGGTGAGTCAGGCTGTGTCCGTGGAGGAGGTGGTTGGCCCTGGAGCAGGAAGAGCTGTGTGTCTCGTTGTTCTTGCCGTTGTGCTGCTGTAGGCTTTGTAGAGGTTGAACAGTCTAGCCTTGTTGTCATTTCGGTGAAAGTGGATGCCGTTTTCTTTCAGGAAACGTTGGAGTTGAATGACTGTCCACCTCCTGAGTTCGGGCTCCGTTTCGGAGCGCGGCTCCGTCCGAGAGGCGTGTCGAGTGCGCCGCTGCGAGTGGCCGGGGGCTGCTAATGAGGCAGGCTGCCGTTGGTGGGGAGATTGGAGCTGGCTGTGCCTGTTGTGGCCCCGGTTGTTTGCCCTCGCTGGCGGAGTAGACGAAGCCTGGGACCTGTCTGGAGTTGGAGGTGTCTCGTTGGGGGAGCTTGAGTGGGAGCGGTGGCGGC